AGCTAAATTATTAACTTTGATAAAATAATAAGATAATAATTCAAAAAATTAGGCATATGTAAGAGGAATGTTTTTGTCTTTCTTTTCCATGAATAAATAATATATCTGTTGATCTAAAAAAAAGATAATATTTTTTTGAAAACTTTCAATAACCATTTGGTCCCATTCATATGTAAATTGATTATTCACAAAAATTACATATCGTATTTACCTAAAATTTGAGTCTACTATTAATTTGTGAAAACCTTTTACATAGGGAGCCATAGTTTAATGTTTTACAGTGAGATACATGAGAAAACTTTATTTTTATCTATTATAAAAAGACTTCCTTGTCATACACACACACACACATTATTAATATGATTCATTGTATGCATTTAATAAAATAGAAGTGGGCATCTATCAATAATAGTATTCTTAATCCTTTTAACCTCTTAATAATAGAAAAATGATATTAGTTACATACGTACATTGAAGATATTAATAGAATTAAATTATACATGTAAATCAAGTAGATATGAATTTGTTTATATTTCCTATATTTTTAGACTCCTTTTATTAATAAAACAATAGTTGATTAAATAAGTATTTTTTCAATTGAACCAACTCCCTTTAGAGGAGTTGGCCACCACATTAATTGTGAGGTGAGAGATCAAGGGTTCAATATGCCTCCCATCAATGTGCCTTAATATGAGATTTGTTCTAAATTCATATGGGTGTGTGGTGCACCCGTCTAGTCTGATGGTGGTTCAATTCCCGTCATGTTCTCCCGACTCAGTTGAGCCATCCCATAGAGTAGGTTCCCTCTCCTCTTAAGAGTAGAAGTAAGCTAGGCTGGTCTAGATGTGCCGTTACGTAAAAGAAAATATTTTTTCAATTGTAAGTACATGATAAATTAATAAATTATTAATTTATTGATTAATTAATACCTCCTTAAATTAATAGAATTTGTGTGGTCCCAAAGTTATTAATTTATAGAAGTTTTACTGTACTCTTATTCTTTCACATACATATGGTTAAGTGTCAGCATTGACCATAGCCTTTAATGTGTATTGTGGAAGATTTTTGAATAGTTCAAAACTTCAAAAGAGAACAAGAAATTATCAAAAAATTCAAGCATGGGATTTACCATACATAAATCAGTAGCTTGCACGTTAAATTCAAGAATTAATTCAGACCATTCGAGAGTCAAAACAAAAAGTGTTTTGAGGGTGCTTAGTCAAAATCATATATATATATATATATATATATATATATATATAATAAAGTCATATTCTCATTCTTATCTCTTTATGTTTTCTCTTTCCTACGCGGCTTAACGAGACGGCAAGTAGTTTCCTACGTGGCTTGCTACTTTTTTGTTTAGATATATATCAATTTTTATTTCTTATAAGAATTCTTAATATTATATGATTCTTATTTCCTACCCAAAAAGGGAACTAGAAAGTAATGCGATATAAATAAAAGAGACATAAATATCTCTATTAGATATATCTCCAATTCATGCCAATAATTTGTGTACTACATAGGGAACTGAAATAAATAAGAATTGTTATCATTATAAGAAGTAGAAAAGTAACTAATTTCAAAAGGAACCATTAATAACAGAAGTTAATATCTGATGTTGGAAATAGGATTCTTAATAAATTTTATTATTAAGTACGTTATCAAGACATAGTGCATAGCACAAAATTTATGGAAAAAAAAGTTAATTGAATCCAATTAACTATATATATTTGACCCGTACGGTCAAAAATAAATTCCTATTTGAGCACGGGTTTGTAAATTGCTATAAACCCTTTCGTTGTTAATCAAAACATGCAGGTTATACTCATTGCTAAGTTATAGGATTCACAATACATTTCTACTCAGATGGTGGGGAGCTGTGTGGACCCACATCATAAGAGTCCATGCACTTAAAAAGGACTCGATATAGTTGAGGTGGTTTTCAAGGTAGGTAAAATCTGTTTTGAGAACGCACTTTTATTTTCTATAAGAATTCTTAATATTATAGGATTCTTATTTCCTACCCAAAGTTACGTATTTTAAACAACTTAAATCAAGATAAACCTACTTTTAATGTTTTTATCAATATCTCTTTATATTCTTATCAATTCTTATTTCTTATGCCTACACTACATATAGCCTCTAATATATTGATTTCATGCATCAAATTCATGGTTAGGTATTTTCAGTGCAAGTGGTTGGCACATTAAAATATCGATTTTGGGTTTCCACTCATCTTAATTATCAGGTACATCTTCTTTCAATACATATATTTTTTAAAAAAGGCATGTTGATCTTCAATTGTAAAAGTTTAGTAACATATCTTGAATTTTGTTTATTTTTTGTTTTATTTTCTGTTTGTTTTTTTATCAACACATAGGATTAGTAATATATCTTGAATTAGTAATAAATTTCTCTTATATTTCACATATTATATCTCACATAATATTTTTGCCTTTAATTTTGATAAATTATTATCAGATTGGTGGAACCGACAATCAATACTAACCTGAAGTATCTTCTTCCCAGATCCCAATTAGTATAACAGATGATTGTAATTAACAATATTTCAATACACTTCATATGAATCATTCATCAGAGGGTTCAACAAAAACCACAGAGGAAGGGAATTCTCATAAAAAGATTTACATGAGAAGGTAGATTTAATATACTATTTTACTTTCTTAAATTATAATCTTTACGTATTGTTATACACAATCTTGAATGCGATAAATCATTTATTTTTTTATACTTAGTGATCCTGCTTTGCTCTCATGCAGTGATAATGGCAAATCAATAAATGCTGATTTGCACAGATAAATCGAGAAGAATGTTCAAACAGAAGAAAAACAAAAACAAGTTTGTGAAGAGTAGAATATTATTTGATACTATTTAGTGCACTTTTTATTTATTTTTAAGTTTTTGAATGTTATGGTATCGTCGAATGTTATTTTTTATTTTTAAATTATTATTTACTGAATTAGATGTTCAAATTTATAGTATAAGAATACTTTATATTACAATGCACATATAGTAATATACTTAAGAAAGGTTATAATAAAATATACATTAAGTTTGTATTTCATATCGACATTTTCATAAAATTGATTAAATAGTTTATTTTTTAAAAATTTCCGTTCAATGAACGGGTACAAAACTAGTTATATTATAATTCCACACCACCTTTATGGAAATTTTGACTTTAATCACTTTAAGGGTGATAACCCTATATTTTATGTGAATACAATATTTGATGAGCATATTAATATTATTAATTCCTTTAACTATTTGCATCCAACCATTATATTAGCACATACACATTAAAGTGAGATTCATACTCATATGTGCTAATTTAATTTTACACCCAAAATCAAGAGAACAGAATAATATGGCCAATATAAAGTAATAATTACAAATTATTGGAATATAACACAAGTTAAAAATGAGAATACTTTTATAAGGCATAAGGATGCGATTTTGTCTTACTATAATATTAAATAGTAAATCTAAACTCATAAGCTAAAACAATAAGTTAAAGAAATAGTCCTTATCTTTTTTGAAAGTTTTGATCAAGAAACAGACTGGATTCTTGATTCTTCTTCTGATAGATGGCAACTCAAACGTGGCTGTTGCTGGGCTGCTGCATTTTCTTCATTTCAGCTGAAGCTGCTACTCTTCAGAATAAAGTTACTGACAATCCTGCTGATCAGTTAGTGGCTGCATTAAATAGCAATCGGACGGCACATAAATCGTCCACACTTTACAGCAACCCAGGCTTGGCATGTATAGCTTTGCAATACATAAAAGCATACCAAGGTGATTGTAATGAAGTTGGAGGACCAAATGCTAAGAAACCTGCTGACGGAGAATTTGCTGAGATATTTGCACCAAACTGTGGGGTGGAGGTTAAGACTCTTGGACCAATTACTGGCCGTTTACTGGGGTGTGAGACAAAGTATGTGAAGCCTGATGAAGCATTCTCCGGGATTCTAATGAAAAACAGTAAGAGCGTGGAGATACTGTACAGTAAAAATCACACAGAGGTTGGTGCTGCTGTAAGTGGTTCAGATGGTGGTTCTCCCTACTTCTGGTGTGTGCTCTTTAGCAATGGCACATCAAACAGCAGCTTTGTCTTGGAGGGAGGTGTGGCCAAGATAAGCAGGCCTGGATGCTTTAGTGGTGCAAATGATCAGTGCAATGGTGCCAATGCTTTGTTCAAAATCCCTATACTGGTTTCAGTAGCAGTTGGAGCTTTGATCTTTTCCCTTTCCAGCTTAGGAGTTTGATGATTGAATGATTGAATGAACCTTTTTTTAGGCATCACTTAGCCCTCTTTTGTTACTTGTTTTTTATGGCTTGCATATTAGGCATATTTCTTCTAGATGCCGAAGCTGATTGTTTCAATTTTGATTGTAAACAAGCGAAATCATTGTTGATAAACTTTTCACACATTGCTCATCAATGGCTCATTTATTCTTTTAGGCAAACTACAGTTTTTTTTTTTTTAAAAAATAGTCCTTATCTTTGGGCATGGAAAAATTTGCTAATTTAATATCTAGCAAACTAACTTGCTCAATAGATTTACTAAATAATTAAATCATTAGGTGAGCAATCTAATGCATCATCATATCCTACCTTTGGATTAATAATGACGTGGTAGTGTTTACTTCATAAGCGAGAAACAATTATTCACTTATAAAACCAAAACAGAAATATTATATTCAGTTGGGCCATTTTACAAATGAGTGACAATTATTTCTTTGTATATATGTAATAAAGAAGTTATATATAATATAATAACTACTTCATGAATATAGAAATATAATACCTTTCGGCAAATTATAGTTCTATAATCATGATTTCACATGAATATAGATAACTATTTAATAAAATTTATATTGGCTTAATATATACTTTTTTTTTTTAACAAACGATAACAAATTTTTATAGATATTAACACTTGATATTACAACAGTTAATTACAAAAAGGGTAACTACCCCATATTCTTACTAGCTAACTGCGATAGCCATATTGGAAATAAATCTTCCCATTCAAAATTTCGAACCGACCTAACTGCAAACTGAGCCAGTGCATGACTACAAGCATTCACGGTTCTGGGAACAAAAGAGAACAGGCAGCTATCAAAGCTATTCTTTAGGGCCTCAATGTCTTCAAGGATTGTTTGAAGTTTACAATCCTGAACATTGCCTGAGTTAATAGAGCTCACAATATTCTTGCAGTCAGATTGGACTTCTATTTTTGTCCATCCTGCAAACTGAGCCATCTCCAATGCGCCTCTGATGGCCAGAGATTCCTCTGTGGCCACATCACTTCTTCTTTTTCCTATGATCCCTTGAGCTTTCACAATCTGCCCATGCCAATTCCTTGCGATGATTCCCAATCCGGTCCTGACCATTTTAGCTGAAATTGCTGCATCCGTATTGATTCTCATAATACCTTCCTTGGGTGGCTCCCAATGTTGCGGAACGTGTACCTCCATTTCTAGTGAAGCATGTGTTTGGTGGTCTGTTTCATTAGCCGCAATATATTCCAGCCACTCCAGTTGAGCTTTGTCGACAATAGCTTTTGCATCCACGTTCTCCATCTGGAACACCATTTTGTTCCTAGCTTTCCATAGCTGCCAAAAGACATTTACCGTGAGTTGGATGCGTTCAGCTCCATTTGCTTCCCCTGCTGAATCCACCACAGCCTCCCACCATCTCCACATATTGCATTGTAGCTCCACTAATCCATCCCACCTCACAGGCGCTAGCCTCCAGACTAGTTGGGCTTTGGGACAGAAAAAGAAAATGTGCTCGATTGTTTCTGTACCTTCCCCACAGCCATGACACCAGACACTTCCCTTTCCAATTCTGTGATGGATTGCTTCATTCGTGGCCTGCCCATTTTGTAGACATCTCGAAAGGAAATGCTTCAGCTTCAACTTAATATTCAAACTCCATAGTTTTTTCCACACCGTATGCTTCCTAATCTCCCAACTAGTGTCAGAATTATGTACTAACCTATTGTCTATGTTATCCCTCCCCTCTTTTGCCACCACATAGCCTGTTTTCACAGTATAAACACCCGACTTGCTTTGATTCCAATACATTTTGTCCTTTCTTGGGTAGAGACTGAGGGGAATGCTAGTTATGCGCTCCACATCTTCCGCCTAAAACTAGATTTGCAGCAAATCTGTGTTCCACCTCTTTCCCTCTATTAGCTCGTGAATGGACTTTAGTTGGCAGCCAACAGGATTTGGCGTAGACACTTTCCCATTCGAAGAATTAGGTACCCACCGTCTTGCCAGATTTTGATAGACCTTCCATCCCCCACTCGCTTGTACAGACCCTGTAAGAGTAGCTCTCCCCCCTTGTGCATACTTTTCCAGCACCAAGATGCAGAATTAGGGGCCTGTTGATATAGCCAATCTTCATCCTTCATGTACTTGGCTTTCAAAACCTTGCTTACTAACAATTTGGATTGGTAATAACTCTCCAAATTTGTTTTGCAAGCAAGGCTAAATTGAATGCCTCCAAATCTCTAAAACCCAAACCCCATTTCCCTTTAATTTGGGAAAGCTTACTCCATTTAACCTAATGCACCTTGTTCTCAGCCTGCCCCCGCCCCACCAAAACCTAGCAATTGTCGCGCAAATGTCCCTGCACAAGCCTCTAGGAAGCATGAAACAAGACATATTATATGTTGGCAAGGCCATGATGACGAATTTAATCAAAACCTCCTTGCCCCCCTTGACTAAGCAGTTTATGTTTCCACCCTTGTAACTTGCTAGTAACTGTACTTTTCAAGCACCCAAAAACCTGCTTCTTTCCTCTCCCAATAGTCATGGGTAAACCTAAATATTTTCCACAAGAAGCTTCATTCACGTTGTCCAGGACCTCATTAATCTCCCTTCTGATCAAGTTTGGCGTATTTCTAGTAAAGAACATGGCTGATTTTTCGAAATTGATAACCTGTCCTGTAGCCGGGCCATATTTCTGAATGATCTCCTTTAGCTTCTGAGCCTCCTCCATACTTGCTTTGCAACACAGGAGTGAATCATCTGCAAAAAATAGATGAGAAACCATAGGGCTGTCTTTGCAAACTTTGATTCCTGTTAGATGCTTACTGTCCACAGCTTTCTTTAGTAAATTTGACAGCCCCTTCATATAGATAATGAATAAATAAAGGGATAAGGATCTCCTTGTCGAAGACCTCTGGAAGGTTTGACACGTCCCACCTTTTGTCCATTCAGATTAAAAGAGTTCGATATTATGGAAATACAAGTCATGATCCAGCGAACAAAAGTTGGACAAAAACCCATGTACAACAATATCCGGCCTAAAAATTTCCACTCAACTCTATCATAAGCTTTAGACATATCCAACTTTAGAGTCATGAAACCTTTTTTACCAGTTCTTTTATTTTTCAGAAAATGCAAAATTTCATGAGCAATGACAACATTATCTAGAATCTGTCTCCCTGGAACAAAAGCAGATTGGCCTAGGCTAATACAATACTTAAGGCATTTTTTCAGTCTATTAGCCAATATTTTAGAGATGATTTTATAAAGCACAATACAAAGGCTAATAGGCCTGTAATTAGTAAGGACAACAGGATTCTCAACCTTAGGGATAAGGGAAATAATGGTCTCATTGATAGCAATAAGGATATTGCCCGTATGAAAAAAACTGGAGACATCATTAACAACATCTCCTTGGATAATATGCCAGTAAGTTTGGAAAAATAAAGGGGGCATACCATCAACACCGGGAGCTTTGTTTGGGAACATGGAAAAAATGGCATGTTTGATCTCCATCTCGTTCATTGGTTTAATCAACTATGTGCTCATGAGATTGGAAAGTGCGAGGTATGCCATTCAGCACTTCATCAAATTCAGTTGGCTCAGTGGATGTGAATAGTTTGTCATAGTGTTTACTTAATTCCTCTTCGATCTCCACATCACTCTTACACCATTCCCCATTTGGCTTCTGGATTGTGCTGATGGCATTTCGCTTCCTATTGGCCATTACACTTAGATGAAAATAGGTAGTGTTTTTGTCCCCTTCCTTGAGCCATCTACTTTTAGATTTCTAGCTCCAGTAGAGCTTTTCCTCCTTGTAAGCTTTGCTTAGCATTAGCTTCAAACCTGTTATAGCTACTCTATTGCCCAACTCTCCTTCTTCACGAGCTGCCCGTAGCTTGTCCTTCAGCTCCAGAATTTTTGCTCTAGAATTACTTTTGGTTGTCCTGTTCCATTCAAGCAAGGCTATTCGACACTCCCTAATTCTCTTAACCACTTTGAACATTCTTGAACCATTAAGTTCCGGCTCCCAAACACGTTTGACAATAGCCTCAGAAGCATTGTCCTTGGCCTACCTTTGATCAAAAAAGAATCTTCTCTTTACACGTCTTTGCTTCGGGTTGTTATCCATCAGTAGCAAACAATGATCAGATGCCTCTAATACAATATGTTCCACTGTGACATGCTCAACCAATTGAACCCACCCAACACTACCTAAACACCTATCTAACCTCTCTTTTATCTCCCCCCTCCATCCCACGTATTACTCCAGGTCCAAGGAACCTCCTTATACCCAATATCCACCAACCCATTCCCGGAGATGAACCTATTGAAATCCCTAAAACTCCCCTCAGACCTCTCCCTCCCACCCCATTTCTCCCCATTGGAGCAAATGTCATTGAAATCGCCTACTACTACCTATTTCCCTCCCCATTCCAACCTTTTTTCCCCTATCATCTCCCATTGTTACACTCTTTCCCGTTCCTCTGTGCTAGCATAAAGTCCTACCAGCCACCATTAATCATTCATCTCCCCATCTACCACCTTTGCTGCAATGTACCAATCAGTGTTTTGCACGTCCAGCAGTTGCACCTCCTCCTTCCAAAACAAAGCTAAACCTCCTGCCCTACCCTTCGAATTAACAACAACACTGTGATCGAACTTAATTCTTTTTTGTACCTGAATCATATATTTTTCTTGATTTTTTGTTTCACACAAAAACACAATACTAGGAGAGTGGAGGTGAAGAACCTCCTTGAGTTAGGGAATTGTCAATGGGCCTCCTGCACCTCGACAATTCCACACCGCCACCCACATTGTGGTTGTGGAGGCATTATGGGGCTAGCCTCCAATTCCCCTCCCGGGTGAGTAGCAATTTGATCCTTTTTGAGGAGCTTGTGTTGAGGACCTTCTGTAAGGTCTTCTTCCATTAAATCCGAACCATGCCAGTCTTCCTGTGATTTCCTTTTCTCTCCACTTTTGCTCGTTGTCCCTCTATCCATGCTTTGTCTCACCCATGGTTCAAAGTCACGGTCGCAGCCCGGAACGTTCCACATCGGTCTCGGCATATCGGTCGCGGTCTCGGTGAGACGCAAATTTTAAAGTATTTAATATTCTAAAAATTGTTAATAATATAAAAAAGTATGCTAAATAAAAATAATTAAAAAATAGTAAAAGAAACGGCTAAGTCAATCCATCGCGGTGTGACTCGGCTGATTTCTCGTCTTGACTCGGGATAACTCGGAGTGACTCGGTGTTACTCGGCCGAGTCAATCCGTCGCGGTGACGACTCGGCCGATTTCTCGGCAAGTCAAGTATTTTGGTATCGTTTTGTCACGATATCGTATCGGTAGGGGCCGAGACGGTGACGACTCGGCCAAGTCGTCTCGATCTCGGCCGAGACTTCGAACCATAGTCTCACCGGTCCTTTTTTAGCCCGTGAACTCCTCCTCCAATGACTTCTCCTTCCTAGTGTACCACCACTAACTATATTGTAGCACTTGGCATCTGGAGGTGCAGCCTCATTGCTTAACCTGCTCCCCTTTTCGACATCATGTATCCCCGACGTATCTATAAAGCCATCTAAAACCATAGCATCTAGAATCTGATTCCCCTCCCTAATCACGCCCGTTCCCAACTCCACAACTATCCTATGTTGTACAATATTTTCAGAATCTTTACTCCCATTCCCCTCATTCTGGTTCCCCTCCTTACCCCTTTTTCTACTCTTCCTTCCAGCTTTGCTCCCTCCGTCACATTATCTCCCCGTCTTAACACAATTGCTGCTTGTTCCTGATCACCACCCTGAGCCTCCCTTTCAGCTCTTGTGCTACATGCGTTGGTCAAAACCACAGGACCATTCTCAGATCTCATCCCAATACTATTGCTTTTGTCTTTGTTGACCTCTACTGCCTTCTTTGGTTTCTGACTAGCCTCTATTCCAGCCATGGTTCGAAGTCTCAGCCGAGACCGAGACGACTCGGCCGAGTCGTCACCGTCTCGGCCCCTACCGATACGATACCGTGACGAAACGATACCGAGATACTTGACTCGCCGAGAAATCGGCCGAGACGTCACCGCGACGGATTGACTCGGCCGAGTCACACGAGTCACTCCGAGTTATCCGGAGTCAAGACGAGAAATCGGCCGAGTTACACCGTGACGGATTGACTCGGCCAATTCTTTTGCTATTTTTTATTATTTTTGTTTAGCATACTTTTTTTTATTATTAATAATTTTTAAAATATTAAATACTTTAAAATTTGCGTCTCACCGAGACCGCGACCGATATGCCGAGACCGATGTGGAACGTTCCAGGCCGCGACCGTGACCGCGACCACGACTTTGAACCATGATTCCAGCCATCAAAAAGGTTTTCAACGGAGATACCATAATATTCCCTACCCTCATCCAAGCACCAAATTGGTCTTCCCTACTAGACTGTCCATCCTGTTTCTCCCCAGTACACATCTTATCCCCATGCCCAATTCTTCTACAGTTGTAACAGAAATCAGGACATCTCTCATACTTGAATTCCACCCATGTATTCAATCCCTCAAGCTTTACCAAAGTGCCTCTCAGAAGTGGTTGAAACAGATCCACCTCAGCCATAATCTTCATATGCCTTCCCAATTCCCCCCTGGTGGTACAATAACCTCCCTTACCGACCTAAAAAGCTTCCCTAACTTAAAACCCACTATTTTGCACAACCAATGGACTGGAAGGTTCCATAGTTGTACCCATATGAAGGCAAATCTAAAGTGGCCGGGCATCCTTTCACACCCAATCTCCCATTCTTTTACCACTAA